CATTCTCTTTGATTTACTTCCTACCTTTCTTCCCAATGTGCTTTCTCATCTTGATATCTCAAACTCATACATTTACACCAAAGAATCCCCTCAGAGACATAGGATTCCCAAGATGCAGCGAATTCCTTTTTGTCATGGAGGAAAAATGGAACACAACAGTGAGACAGAAAGTTCAGCATGTACTCTACAAATAATTGTTGGATTCCAAATTATGGGGAAGGTAGAACATTTCTATAGAAGAAGAAAAAATGTTTTATAGAGAATTGAATTCTTGGTGCAAATGATGCTATTGGTTATCATTTTGAGGAACTTGATGTTCAATTTTGATTTTGCCAGTTCCTAGAAAAGCCAGTCTTTTTCCAGGCATTTGGTCAGCAGCATGATAAAATGTGTTTTTCCAGTTAAGCAATTTCAAACAGGTTGCAGTGGATACCTTTTATTATCAGTTTAATGATGCTGCCATTTAAAATCACCTAGGACTAAAAAGCAGAAACATCACCCTGCCAACAAAAGTGCGTATAGTCCAGGCCATGGTTTTCCCAGTTGCAATGTATGGCTGTGAAAGTTGGACCATAAGAAAGGCTGAGCACCAAAGAATTGAAGCCTTTGAACTATGGTGCTGGAGAAGACTCCTGCGAGTCCCCTGGACTGCAAGGCAATCAAACCAGTCAGTCCTAGAGGAGATCAACCCTGACTGCTCTTTAGAAGGCCAGATCCTGAAGTTGAAACTCAAATACTTTGGTCACCTAATGGGAAGGAAGGACTCACTAGAGAAGAGCCTAATGCTGGGAAAGATTGAGGGCAATAGAAGAATGGGATGACAGAAAATGAGGTGGCTGGATGGAGCCGCTGAAGCAGTAGGCATGAGCTTAAATGGACTCCAGAAGATGGTAGAGGACAGGAAGGCCTGGAGGAACATTGTCCATGGGGTCGCGATGGGTCAGACACGACTTTGCAACTAACAACAACAAGGAATCTAAAAGTTGTCCACACATCTTCATGTTGCCAAGGTTGAAAAATACTGAACAAGACTATAAAAGATGAAACAGAAAAGGCTCCAGTAGACCTTCTCTCTCTGGATTGCGGACTCCATGCTCTTGAGCTAAACATTTGGCTAACACTGAGTTGCAAAGCCAGGCGAGTCAATGAGGGAATGAATATTTGACTGAAAGTGAAGGCAAAGAACATTCTATTTCATTAAACCTTTGGAAGCTGTAGAATGTTCTGTATTCATAACTGAAAGTTCGTAACTGCTCTTCTAACTCAGAAAAGGATTCTCTGTGAGAAAGTCCTTGAGAGACAGGAAGAGAAGCTGCAGAGACATGGCAGCTTAGCCCATAGAAGGAAAGAGCCAAATATATCAGAAGGGACCCTATCTAGTTTCTTGGTCTGTAAAGGTAAGGGGAAAGAGATGTACTTTCTGAATTGTAAGATTCTGTTACTGTAACTTTACAATACATGTACCGTTAATACTCATGGTTGGGGCTTCTTATCCGGACTGCCTCAAAGGGCTGACATCCATCTTGCAAATCGGAAAGTACACCTCTCCTTCTTCACTTTATAGTCCAATAAAATAGGGAGGGTTCCTTCTGACATGATTTTTCACACCTCCATTCCTTCTGTGGGCTAATTTGTCTCTTATCTGACGGTTGCTTAGTCTGCATCTCCTCCTGTAGGACTGATATGGCTGTCCTGGAAGAATCATGTGATTTTCATTATCAAGGAACTCATGTCACACCAGCAGCTGTTTTGCATACTTAATTTCCAGTCTTATCAGTTAGGGAAAGAAGGATGAGGGCTGTAATATTTTAATAATGAACCTACCTTCTGGGAGAGCTATCCTCTCTGAGACAAGCGAATATTTCTTGTTGACTATTGTTTACTAATCATGTGTCTTTGTTTTCCAAAAAGTATATGACAGCTGTGCTAATTTGTGTATTGGGGGTTCTCAGTTTGCAATTTAGTCCCGAGAGCACACCTCTTTGTGTGCTCTCAGGACTAAATAAACAGGTTGCAATTTCCCATCTTGTGTGATAAATTGGCTATTTTGTACTAAGGAAAAAGAAATCCGGCATATGGTTAAATCAACTTAAGGTTTGGCCAACATTGCTCCTCCTCCCATGCCCCAGGGACATTCTCACAGACCATTACATCCACTGAGTGGTGTGCACATGTTATCCCTTCATAAAATCACCATCTTCTCCAGCTGAGTGGTGCAAAAATTAGATCCTTCTAGACACCAGATCACTGTCACTTGTGAATAGTTGATAAAAGCCAGTTTGAGAAATCTGAGTGGGTGATGGAAGAAGGGAGAGAAGGGAAGGTGCTTAGCTATAAAGGGGGCTTATAAAACCATATTGTTGTTAGTTGCAAAGTCATGTCCGACTCATCGCGACCCCATGGACAATGTTCCTCCAGGCCTTCCTGTCCTCTACCATATTCTGGAGTCCATTTAAGCTCATGCCTACTGCTTCACAGTGACTCCATCCAGCCACCTCATTCCCTGTCGTCCCCTTCTTCTATTGCCCTCAATCTTTCCCAGCATTAGGCTCTTCTCCAGTGAGTCCTTCCTTCTCATTAGGTGGCCAAAGTACTTGAGTTTCAACTTCAAAATCTGTCCTTCTAAAGAGCAGTCAGGGTTGATCTCCTCTAGGACTGACCTGCAGAATTGTGTAACAGGTTTCTTCCCCTCTGATTGGTTCCAGTGCCAATTATCCTAAGCCCAGTCATTTTGCACTAGAAAGTTGCCTTCTTTCTTTTGAACATACCTGATCTAGCTGAGGTTAATTGATATCCCCTTTTTATTTATAAATGAAGAAATAAAATGGTGTTACAGCATGGATTATTTTAATACAAATATTGGACCATCAAGAATACAAAAGTCTTGGCTTCCAGTGGCATAACAATATCATAAAACAGGAAAGGGCAGGAATATTGACGGTGGTAGGAGGTGGCAGAGATTATTTTCCATTGCATCCCACTACTAAATGAGATGGAGAATGATCTGGTTGATGCATCATAAGTGACAATAAGCATGCTGTAATCACAAAGCAGAGGGGAGGAAGGCATTTTTTTTAATAGCCATTGCACACAGCTCTGTTTCTGACATGCTAGCTAGGATAGCCATGCAAGTTTCTCCTAACTTAGACTTCTCCAATCTATTGCTCTTCACATGTGGAATCCAGTGGCAACATTGGTCTCGATACATCTGTAGAGCGTTAGGTTCTTGGTGCTCTCTGAGCTTGGGTGTTTTCTTGCAGATCTTTCATTACACAAGCTAGGTAACTTCATCAGCACAGTACTGATGATGTTACCTAATTTGGGTAATGAAACATCTGCAAGAAAACAACCAAGCTCAGAGACCATCCAAGGATCCCTAATTTCAACCTTGAATTACAAACATTCTCCTTTATTGGCAGTAGATTCTACATTTGGTAGATGTCATGTATCTTTAGGAAGTTTATATAAAATAGGATTATAGAAAATTACTAGATAAAGTAAAATTTAGAAACATTATACACAATATTAGCATAAAACAAGAAAGGAGGAATTATTATATATGTCAAAGAAAAATCAAATCAATATACTTGGATGAAAAGGGGTGAATTTTAATGTTGGAAATAGTATTAGAGTAAAAACAGTATATGCACTAAATAATAATTAACGTGAATCTTTTTAAAAAAATAAGGTATATAAGAAGCTAGTGGATTTGAACTATGAGAATGTTTGTATGATCACCAGGCCTAGATGGAATCCCGGTCGAGTCTTATAAAAAATACGAGAGTTACTACAATGAATAATGTTGGAAATTTAAAATGAGGTGTTGGTAGGGGCGATATGTGTATAATAATGTATAATAATAATAATATGAATTATTCCTAGTAAGTAGTAGAATATGAAAGAAGGAAAACGTAAATAAGAAACAATGGGGCAATAAGGACAAATATTTCAAAGAAGAATGAGGGGGCAAATGTAAATAATAGAAGGGTACTGTTACAAATTGCTGTTAACAAAAGAGGATATATTACGTGTGTATGTGTGTAATGTTTTGTTGTGTTTTTGTTTTGTTTTGTTGGTCTAAAATAAAAATTAAAAAAAATTAAAAAAAAATAGATTCTACATTTGGAATTAGTATAGGAGCTGACCAAGAGGAGACAGAGATAGAGCTGCATGTAATATCTCAAAACTATTCCTAACGCTAAAAGATGTGAGAGAAAGCAGGGAAGAATCACTGCTTGAAAATGTATGTCACATGGATGTTCTACAGCTGGTTTCACAAATTTCCTGGCCTGTTTGGTGAAGCCTAGACACTACTGACCCATGTGCCTTCTCTTCCTTCCTCCTCCTCTGCCTCCCGATTGACAGAGCCAGAAAGGCTGGTTTTCACACGGTTGGCAAGCTTTGTTTCAACTGGCTCCAAAAGATGCAAGAGGCATCCTCGTATCAGTTCTGGATATCTTCCCTACATCCAGAGTACCTCAAGGGGATCTCATAAAGTATTTCTGAAATTTGACTGTCAGCCACCCACACCCTTTTGCTTAGGACTTTTTGCTAACTGTGTCTGTTGGCCTGTGATTCCTATCAGTCCTTAGGCAGGTTGGCTGTGGGACATCCTGGGTGGGAGCTGTAGGCTAATACATTTGAAGGGGAAATCCTGCTGTAGAGCATGTTTATGAAGTGACGGATGTGCAATTATCCCACCTGAGCAACATGATGGGGCAACTGTGAAAAATGTTGGCAGTGCCACTTGATCATCACCAGCCAAGATGGCTGAGGCTTTCTCAAAGTAGATTGTTAAATCTGCATCCTCATAATTGTAGAGCTAGTACTGCTGGGAAAAAAGTATGCTGCCTAGGAGTTACTCCACACAGCTAACATTGCATTGCCATGGCTGTCTTCTAGAGAGTTCTCATGTTGTAAGAGTCCTACACATTTTAATTGACACTTTTAGTGCCAGAGAAAACTTTCTAGTGTATAATAGTCCATTAATCATAGTAATAAATTTGGAAAAGCCTTTAATTTGTAGGTTCAGGTCCCCTCTGCTCTGCTTGCATTTAATTGTGACAGGTATTTATCTCCCTAATATAAAGTTCTTGCCCAAACATGGAAAGGAAACCAAGGCCGATTCAACCTGTCTCTGGGACACAGGGTCAAGTCCAACCTGCCTTCCTTAACATTTTGGAACACAAGGGTTTATCGGAGGCTGATTGTCTTTCTCCTGCTGTCCCACTGGCTGCAAAGCCTCAGGTATGGGGCCATAACTGCCGTCATATGTTCCCCTTGGGCCAGATGCAATAGATTCCCCATCGTAGAGTGGTCCTGAAGCATGAGAACCTGCAGCACCACCATATGAAACTCCATATGGTACATTGGGCCTAGATTTAGGGGGTGCCTTTGATGCTGGGACATAGTTTCCTCCCCATTCCTTAGGGGATGGGATGTAGGGGATACCAGGTTCCTTCCATACTGGCCGTGGACGGCCATCAGGAGTGTTCTCTTTGATGGTAAAGCCAGAAGGTGGCCTTTCAGGAGTGCCACCTTCATGTTGTCCAGCACCCCAAGGATCATATGGTCTTGGTTTGCCATCCTGAGCAGGATCTCCTCCAAAGGCAGGTTCCATTGGCCGGCCAGACTGCCAAGGTCTATTTGGCCTGCCAAACTGAAAGGGGTTGTCTTCTTGGGAATGGGGTGCAAAAGAACCTCCTTCATAATTTCCAGGTGCGGAAGGCCTGCCACCCACTATCCGGGAGTTTCCCCCTTCAATGCTGTTGCCTCCTAGTCCAGGTGGTGAGACCTCTGGTTTGAGGATCCCACTTGGGAAAGAGCATCTCTCTACCCCTGGGGGCAGTGGCTGAAGGTCTTCCCCAAGGAATGTGTCAATACATCTGGAGGCTATGCCTAGAAAGAGACACAAAAAAGACAAAGTTGCCACTGAGTTCTTAGTTGAGGTTCACCATGGTATTCCCAACTCCAGCAGGTGCCACAAAAAGGCTCAGAAGACCTTTATTAATATTATTAATATTAATATTGGCTACAGTAAGAACCTTTCAAGCCTAACTGTGCTATCTCCCACCCACCTACTCAGCCTTAGTATATGAATTAGGAAGATGTTTGCCTGAGTTGCTTGCTTGAGTACTTTCTTCGGGTTTCGGACTTAAATTTTTCCCCTTGTTGCTTTGATAATGAATCCGGCCTATCTCTGCCAAGGTCATCTTCCTTATTCTCTACATTTTCTCCATGTTTACTCACAAGAATTGGGAGGCAGGATGAGCTGAGAGAACATGACTGATCCAAGTCCCACAGGGTGTTTCTAGAACTTAGATCTTCTAGTCCTAGTTCAGAGGTCTCCAAACTTCTGAGGGTCATATTGGACATTTTGCAAACATTTGAGGGCTAAGGAAAAAACAATCCAAGGGAAAACAATGTAGGGAGCACAGCACATGAGAGGAGCTGCTGGGCTAAGATGGAATCTTCCAGAAGGCTGGATTTAGCTCTCAGGCTGTAGTCTGGAATCCAATCCTTTCACCACAGCACCATATGGGGTCTCATTGACACTAGATATAATGCATCTCTCATAAACAGTGCCATCAAGACACCCCCATATTTTTGTTTGTTTGCTGCTGATTGAAACCTAGAGATTGGCAAAAGTCCACCTGCCCTTTTGCCAAAAGAAAGGTGTGGAACAGCTGCAGCAAGGGCTCCCATCTTCCAGTGTCACAACTGCTAACAAGCGAAATAGCTCAATCTGCCCTCCTGTCTCAGGCATGTCCCCAAAGTTCCATTGATTACATTTCTCCTTATCAAGCTCCTGAAAATGTTTGGAACAGGACCCAGAAATGCCAATTCCCTACGTCATCTGCAAAAGTCGAAGCAAAAGTAGGGTTCCACCTAGAATCTGCAACCTGAAGCAACAGTGCAAACAAGAGGCAGCTGTGGTGGATTGTGTCTATGGAGGGAGAGGTGGTGTGATAGACTAAAATGGAGCAGTAATTTCCTAAGGAGTTGGAGCACATTCCAAAAGGGAGGGTGAGACAAGAAGCAGAGCTGGATTGGAGACAGATGGAGAAATTTAGGACAACCATTTCCTAGAAACTTGCAAGATATAATCTTAGGTTTAGACTAATATAGCTTTTAGTATAGAATAGTGTAGCTATAATATAGCTTCTGGCAAGATTCTGTCTATATTAACAGAATAACAGAGTTGGAAGGGACCCTGGAGGTCTTCTAGTCCAACCCCCTGCTCAGGCAGAAAACCCTATACCATTTCAGACAAATAGTTGTCTAATCTCCTCTTAAAAACTCCCAGTTTGGAGCATTCACAGCTTCTGGAGGCAAGTTGTTCCGCTAGTTAATTTTTCTAGCAGTCAGGAAATTTCTCCTTAGTTCTAGGTTGCTTCTCTCCTTGATTAGTTTCCATCCATTGCTTCTTGTCCTGCCTTCTGGTGCTTTGGAGAATAGCTTGACTACCTCTTCTTTGTGGCAACCTCATAGATATTGGAAGAATGCTATTATGACACTCTTTGTTCTTCATTAAACTAGACATACCCAATTCCAGCAACCTTATATGTTTTAGCCTCCAGTCCCCTAATCATCTTTGTTGCTCTTCTCTGCACTCCCTCTAGAGTCTCAACATCTTTTTTACATTGTGACAACCAAAACTGGATGCAGTATTACAAGTGTAAAGTTCTTACCAAGGCATTATAGAGTGGTATTAACACTTCACTCATATTTAAGTGATTGTCCACTAGGACTCCAAGATCCCTCTCACAGATACTATTGTTGAGCCTATACTATACCTGTGCATTTGGTTTTTCTTGCCTAAATCTCTAGAACCTTACTTTTTTCATCATTGAATTTCATTTTGTTAGATAACATCCAGTGTTCAAGTCTGTCCAGATCCTTCTGTATCTTAAGCCTATCTTTGGGAGTGTTGGCTATTCCTGCCAGCTTGGTGTCATCTGCAAATTTGATGAGCTCCCCATCTATCCCCTCATCCAAATCATTGATGAAGATGTTGAAGAGAACTGGGCTTAAAACAAATCCTTGGGGCACCCTACTGCATACTTCCCTCATTCATTAATTCATTCATATCCCATCTTCATTGTTTTTACAGATAACTCAAGGTGGTGAACCTATCCAACACACCTTCCTTCTATTTTTCACACAACAATAACCCTGTGAAGTGAATTGAACTGAAAGAGAGTGAGTGGCCCAAAGCCACCCAGCTAACTTTCATGGTTAAGATGGAACAAACTCAGGATCTCCCACTTTCTAGCCTACTGCCTTAACTGTATGGTGTGAACAATAAAGAACATTGGCTGGATTGTGTACTATGTTGTTCTTGGGCTGTGCCTGACAATAGATGGCTTCTCTTGCAATTTACGACTTGATAACAGCTCTCAGGTTTCTAGGTCTCTCCACCCATTCCCATTCTCTGTTCTAGGACATAAACCAATTATTATTTGTTATGAGGCTATGACATATTCTGAACTAATCAGTAAACAACTGGTAAAATGGTATGAACCTTGGTATAAATAATAAGTTTTGATCCTTTGGCTTCTCCTCTCCCTCCTAGGCCATTTCACAGCTTACTGCTCAATCAACCTACTTCATTCTTAAAGGCTATTCTTTGCAATAAATCTGTCCCATCCAAATGTTTGAATGAATTTTCAATCAATTGTCTTCTGCTGAATTAATCATGTTCATATTCCGACCCTTCTTTTCTGAATGAGAAATCTTTAGAAATTCTTCAGTCATAACTTAAGTGAACCTAGTCAAATCTTCTTCCTCCTACTACTCTAACATTATCATCATCATCATCCTAAATCTTTAACCACTTCTCTGCAATGGTTCTCTGGTCTGTAAACCATGATTAAGTAAACCATGGTTTAGTGCAATATATGCCATATAAGTTATTAGTGTTAGAACTTAAGAAGTTGCTATGTACAAAATTAACCCATTGCTCTAGTCCAGTGATGGAGAACCTTTTAGAGACCGAGTGCCCAAAAACTGCCCTGTCCCCACTCTGCCTCCCGTCCTGCCTGTTCCACCCCCACCCAGCCACGCACCACCTCCTTGGCCCACCGCAGATCGCTCAGGCAGCCCTGCAGTGCCATGGCAGCCACGCCCTCCACCCTCACCCCACAGCATTATCTGCACGATAGGGGGCACGAGGCTGGAGTCTTGTCCCTGCTGCCCGGCTATGTCCTTGGCTGCGCTGTTCTGTGTGGGCTGAGCCTGGGGGTGACTCTCCTCCAGGGAGGTGAAGGTGAGGAGGGGGCTACAAGAGGAGGCGGGGCTGGGGTGACAGCACGCATGTCCACAGAGAGGGCTCTGAGTGCCGCCTCTGGCACACGTGCCATAGGTTCACCACCACTGCTCTAGTCCTACACAATATTTTCATGCAATTCTCTAGAATTTCAGCCAGATTTTTTCCAGCTGGTTTGTACCTGGTCGTACTGGGATTTCAACCTAGTACCCTCTAAGGCCAAAACATTGCTACAATGAGCTTTCAGAGTGATTTAATAATGCAGTACTAACTTCTGGTTAACGATAGTTAGGAAGCAATTTTTTATATTTTTTTTCCCAATCATATCTAATTCTCTATTTTTTTTCAGTAGCATATACTTCTACTATCTAATAGCTTGGCCATCGTTGAATGTAACACAACATACCTTTGGTTTCTGTTAATTCTATTTTACAGATGGGAAAAATACAATTTGAAGAAAGCACCATTGATGCAATGCAGATTCACGTTTTGAATCCTTTTTAGTCTGGGCATCCTTTGCCTGATGTTGATGGAACCAGCCGAATTTCTCAGGATCTACTACTTCCTGCCTCCTTTCTTAGGCCAAAAAGGAGGCACAAAACAGAGCTTATGCATTATTTGCAAAGAGTTGTAATAGGTAGCTTAGATGTCACTTAAACTTTCAGTCCTAAAGAGCAAATTCAGAATTATGAGGTGACCGCACAGTTTTTACAAAGTGTTGCCACATCTGTCCATTAGTAGTCATCTAAATCAGTGGTTCTTAACCTTTTTGAACGAATCGTCCCCTTGAGCCAATGAGGAAGTTGTCATCACCCCCTCTCCCCCAACATAACCTCTCAATCACAACATAGGAAATAATTCTCCAATTTATGCAAACACTTTTTTTGTTTTCTTTAAAATTGCCATCAGGACATATCGATGCAAATAATTTATTTCCAGTCTTTTTCCCATATCTCCCATATTCTGGCCAATGGTGCGCCACTGTACAGGTAGAGGCTGCTGCGCAACGCGTATGAAGATAAGCAATGCGTCTTCACATACGTACGGCGTTCTGTACTGAAGCTAGCTGGAGGAACATTTGAAAACACAATTTAATTCGATCTGATGTTTTTGTACGACAGATATACAGCCATTCACTGTACGAAAAAGTCTCAAAAGTGTCCCCCAAACTTCTTGCTCCATCGCCCCCATATCACCCCCTTTTCATTCCTTTGCCCCCCGCATTGCCCCTTTTTGTTCCATTGCCCCCCTGAAAAATGAAATCGCCCTCTGGGGGGGCAATATCGCCCAGGTTAAGAACCACTGATCTAAATGTCTGCCTCCTGTATATCTGGTAATATTATGCTAGCAGAAATGGCAAATGAATTTTGGCACCTTAGAGACAAACTCACTTAAATATTGGGAGTCCATTTCATCATTTGGCAAAGGCCTAACTAAAAGAGATGGGGGAGGGGAGTCAAAAGAGTCATTAATAGTAACATGAGTGGTGCAGATTTAACAAATGATTTGTTAAATATCCATTCCTGAAGAGTGAATCCTTCTGTCCCATCATCCCCAACATACCTTGCAAATGGAAACTCAGGATTAAAGCAAAGGGCAGCAGCAGCAGCAGCATGCCAGGATGGGACTTGCGATTCATCCTGGAGGGCCCCAAAGATCAACACATCTGCTTCCCGTGCGGCTCCCTACTTTAGGACAAAAGAAGGCTGTGTCACCTCCTCTGCACTTGAGGATTTATATCTCTGGAACTTTGTCCTACCCTGCCCTGCCCTGCCCTGCCCCAAGGATAAGGCAGGAACAGCCCAAATTCCAGCTGGATTGAGAGTCTGCTTTCCACATACTGTATCACAGCAACTTGAATCTCAAATAACAGCCCAGCTATCAGTGCACCAGTGCAAACTGGGTAGACTTGGTGTTTGGGCAAAGAAATAGGGAAAGCCATGTTTTGGTCCAGCCAGTGTGAGATGAAGAAGAGAAGGAAACAATGTGTTCAGATGCTAGAAATGGGACTGGGCAACCAGAGTACAGTTTGTGGAACTAAAATAGTCATCAACCCTGAATAACAGAATAAGAGAATTGGAAGAGACATTGGAGGTCCCCCCTGCTCAGGCAGGAAACCCTATACCATTTCAGACAAATGGCTGTCCAGTCTCTTCTTACAAACTTCCAGTGTTGGAGCATTCACCGCTTCTGAAGGCAGGTTGTTCCACTGGTTAATTGTTCTCACTGTCAGGAAGTTTCTCCTTGGTTCTAGGTTGCTTCTCTCTTTGACCAGTTTCCATCTGTTGCTTCTTGTCCTGCCTTCAGGTGCTTTGGAGAATAGCTTGACTCCCTCTTCTTTGTGGCAACCCCTGAGATATTGGAACACTGCTATCATGTCACCCCCTTGTCCTTCTCTTCATTAAACCAGATATATCCAGTGCTGCAACCGTTCTTCATATGAAGTCCCCTAATCATCTTTGTTGCTGCTCTTGTTGCTCTTTGTTCTCTTCCTGATTACAGGCTATATGGGCTGTGCATGATGGGACTGGGGAAGGGGGGGGTCAAAAAGCAGCAGGGGGTCATTAGGTTGGACCTGTACTTGGAAAGAGAAAGAATGTGACCTGATAGCCTGAAAGGAAGGGCAATTAATTAATTGTCCTCTATAGGACAATTATTACAGTACAGGTACTCTTCCACTTCGGACGGTAATGAAGCCTGCCCATCACAATCATAAAGAGTTGTAAAAAAAAAAAGACCAACCCCAATTTTGTGATTTTTTTTTTAATGGTGATTGTTAAGTAAATTGCCATGGCCATTAAGCAAACAATGGATTACTACTAGCAAAGTTTGCCAAAAAACAGACGTGCCTATGGGAAGTTGCAAACAGCCATAAATGCTGCCGTGTTGCTTTGTGCCTGAAGTGACTGCAGCGGGAAGAGAAAAGGAGATGATTGCCTCAACTTCGAATCTGAGTCCTAAGTGGTAGCCCCCAAAGCAGGTCTGCTGTAACTTTGAACGGTCACTAAATGACCAATTGTAATTTGAGGACTACTTGTGTTCTTACTATATAGATGCTGTGCTTTTAATGACAGTTACACAGATTTGTCAATCTAGAGCAGTGGTTCTCAACCTGTGGGTTGGGATCCCATTTGGGGTCGAACGACCATTTCACGAGGGTTGCCAAACAATGCAGTCTGCCATTTTTTCCCCCCTTTTCCTTAGCTGTGCTACTCCCTTTTATTCTATTGGCTTTTGAAAGCCAATAGAATAGACTCTCTTGAATAGAGTCTAATTCTATTGGCTTTCAAAAGCCAATAGGAATTGTCCAGACTGTCTCGGCCCTGCTGAGCCCGCCAAAAGTCCCATTCTGCAAACAGTGCTGCACCAGTTGAGTAGTCCTCGACTTATGACCAGTTGGGGGATCGCGGCATTAAAAAGTTTGAGAACCAATGATCTAGAGTTTTCCTGCAAGAAATTGTAAAACCCACCCAGAAAGGAGCAAAATCACCACCATACAGGGCCCTCAACCTCCATGTTGGACTGGAAGGGATATTGAGGTTGATGGCATTGAAAGCTGTTTGAAATCTAGTAGAACAAGAAGAGTTATACTTCCAACAATTCCTATTCCAAATTATCCATCCCTTTTACTATAGTTCTCTTTCCCAAATTTCAAACCTGACTGCCATGAGTCCAGGTAATCCATTACTTCCAAAATCCTTTGCCATTTTCACTTCATCAGGTTATTTTTTTTTTCTATTTTATGAAACAATTCTGTTATATTAGTTTTCTGTGATGCTTTCTGATTTTCACGGTCCAAGACTTGAAAACAAATCTTAAAATTTAATTCTCCCAATTCCAAAGACACGAAAGCAATAATTGCTCAAAATTATTCAGTTAGATCCCAATTCTTTTTTTAAAAAAATCTAGATTAAAGTGCCAAGCAGCCCTCTATGAGCTGGCAAAAAATAAACTGGCGCTAAATTTGCTACTGTCCTATAGTAATAGTAATAGTAGTAAAGTTGGAAGGGACCTTGGAGGTCATCTAGTCCAACCCCCTGCTCGGGCAGGAAAACCTACACCATTTCGGACAAATGGCTGTCCAGTCTCTTCTTAAAAACTTCCAGTGTTGGAGCATTTACTGCTTCTGGAGGCAGGCTGTTCCACTGATTAATTGTTTTCACTGTCAGGAAGTTTCTCCTTAGTTCTAGGTTGCTTCTCTCCGTGATTAGTTTCCACCCGTTGCTTCTTGTCCTGCCTTCAGGTGCTTTGGAAAATAGCTTAATTCCCTCTTCTTTATGGCAGCCCCTGAGATATTGGAATACTGCTATCATGTCCCCCCTTGTCCTTCTCTTCGTTAAACTAGACATACCCAATTCTAGCAACCGTTCCTTATATGTTTTAGCCTCCAGTCCCTAATCATCTTTGTTGCTCTTCTCTGTACTCTTTCTAGAGTCTCAACATCTTTTTTACATCGTGGTGACCAAAACTGGATGCAGTATTCCAAGTGCCACAGGCTGCCAAATGGTGGTGTTTTTATTTATTGCATGCAGACCCTTTAAGAGGCAGATTGGGTGGATTTTGATCTTTCCCACCAGCTGTTTGGAAAAAACTAATCCATCAATCACTTTTTAATGTTGGCTCTAGGTGCAGAGGAAGTGGCTTTTGACATATGGATTGACCAGCCGCGTTTGACACTGATGTTCACAAAGGAGACTATCAGCTGATTTTGGAATGGCACTCTTCTGAGATAGCACTAAATCTGATTGTGTCTAAAGCAAAATTGCTTTGGCTTGTTCCTTGCTTAAAAGGGAAAACATAGCACAGGTAGTCATCAACTTATAACCATTCATTTATTGAGCATTTGAAATTACAATGGCAATGAAAAAAGTGACTTATGACTGTTTTTCCACACTTATGACCACGGTCATGTAATCAAAATTTGGACACGTGGCAACTGGCATGTATGTATACAGGATGGTTGCAGTGTCCCGGGGTCATGTGATCCCCTTTTGCAAACTTCTGACAAGCAAAGTCAATGAGGAAGCCAAATTCGCTTAACAACCTTCTTACTAACTGAATACCTGCAGTGACTCACTTAACAATTGTAGCAAGAAAAGACATAAAATGTGGCCATAAGTTGAAGACTACCTATATTTTCTCACCCACAGTAGTAATTTGGATTGTAAGTGAGTCTTCAAAGCCGGGACTGATAAATACTATTTTATTGCAAGATGTCATGTGCACCAGGGCTGGAAAAAAGTGTATCTTGGGGGCCAATGTCATTTGCCAGCATCCTTTTTTAGTCACCAAAGTTTTCTCAGAATGGATGGGAACCAAACTGTAAGCTTGTTTTTTCATTTTTTTTTTTCATTTTTTTTTTTTTTCATTTTGGGGAATGCTCAGCCCGCCCTACTTCTGGAATTTGGTCCTTGGCATGCTGCACAAAACCTAATAAGACTTCCATACCAGAGGAAGTTACACATTTATGATGGACAACAATGGATGTTATAATCATTACTTTCATACCTTCCTCAGCTCCTAATTAATTAGATCATTGCTCTCATCCAACTGTGCAACGATCTAAATAATGTGGTGACTTCATCACTGAATACTAATGAAAGACTGAAGCACTATAAGTTGCGCTATAGAAATTTGGGGAAGAATTTTCCATTGCTACATTTTCCCTAGTTAAGGAAGAAGTCGTTACCAGCAGGAATCTCATGCACGTGTCAAGGGCTTGATATCTATTTCATACATCTAATGGGAAAGGGAAAGTATTTAGGTGCAATGTGGAAATCTGGAAAAGGACAAAGCAAAGTTACTTGTCAGTCTTGTTTCCTTGCTTTGTCCTTTTCCATATTTCCATTTGAACAAATTCATGAAGAGAGGTGTGTACTGGACTATTAGGTCCCATCCCTTTTCAAAAAGAGAAGTTGTTCTCTTGGTTCTTTTCTTGCAGACGTTTCATTACCCAAACTAGGTAACATTATCAGTGCTAGAAGGAGGACTGGTGAATGTTCACACGTGTGAGACACAAATTCTCAACTGGAAAAACAAAAACAAAAGACCTGATGGCCTCATACAGAAGATCACGCTTTCAGGCTACTCAATTGTTAAACACTGTGTAGTTTTCATCTACATATCTGAGCCAAAAAAACCTGTTTGCCACACCCGCGCACATCATTCCAGATAAACACTGGATAAAAACAGAAGAAGGAATATGATTTACCCTGACAATGTATTCATCTTAAGGTATGTGCCTGAAGGAAAACTATGACTCAAAAAATAATGTTTAAATAAAGGTTCGTAGACAAGATTAAAATGGAAAAATCAAGATGAAATGAAGGCTGAGCACTGGACAGGTAATTGGGATAACAGATTGTTTCAGCAGTTTATCAAGAACACAAAAAGCAAGATGTTTTGACTTGTCTTCAACAATCGAATTATCGTATTGCTCCCTCTTACAAGAGAAAATTATCTGGATGGACTCCATAGGATGCTAACAAAATAACAGAATTGGAAAGGACCTTGGAGGTTTTCTAGTCCAACCCCTCATCAAGGAAGAAATCCTATACCTAGACAAAATGGATGCCCAATCTTTTCTTAAAAGCCTCCAGTGATGGAGCACCCACAACTTCTGGAGGCAAGCCGTTCCACTGGTTGATTGTTCTCACTGTCAGGAAATTTGTCCTTAGAGTCACACCTGATTATATAACCTTTTTTTTTTTTGCCACAGTTG